GGGGATTCGAACCCGCCACCTTAGGTGTACGTGGCTGGCGCCTTAGCCGGTTGAGCTATAGGCGCCGAGCCTTTCTCTCCACTTTGTATGAGACTCTTAAGAGATTAAGTGACTTACCCAAGGTCACACAGGGATGACCAAGCCTAGATTCTAAGTCTGTCTAGCTCCCAACCCCTCTCTCCTTACATTATATAATAGTAAGTGACCTCAAATGAGAGCTAAGAGTAGGACTTAGAAGCTGAATCTGAACTGGAGGCTCAGATGATCCCACCTTGGAAGACAGCCCCACCATATAATGGGCATGATCCTAGCCTAATGGGAAAGTTTGGGATGCCTAAGCACAGATGGGTGGATTTTGTGTTTGGTGATCCAATTGAGAAGACCTTTTAGAGCAGTGGTTCTCAACCTTCCTAAGGCCGTGGCCCTTTAATATAGTTCCTGTGGATCGCAACCCACAGGTTGAGAACTGCTGTTTTAGAAGGGGCTCAATCTGGAGGGAGATAAGTTGGTATTGGCTGCCCCGGGTATAAGTGTTAGTACCAAAGAGAATTTGATTTGAATTGCAGCTCAACTATTTATTGTGTAATGTTAGGCAGGTTTTTTTGTCTGTTTGCCCCTCTAACTAAAACCACCCCCTTCATAGGGTTAAGCGAGAAAATGTATGAAATGCCTGGTGCCTGCACAGTAAGCACTGAATGCCGCCATTGCTGTTGCAGTTACTGCCCTCCCCAAGCTCTTTGGCCAAGTCCCAGTCCACTCACTGTAGCTTGTGGAATCGTTCAAACCCAGCAGCCACATACTGCCCTCCATTCTGCAAGTCTGCCAGGTCGGTGACAGGGTGGCCGTGACAAGGCGTGTAGAGAGCACGTACAGCCAGTGGGGCCTGCACAGCTGATGTCACCTCACAGAGGAAGGCCTCCATGGTGGGGAAGCGGCGCTGAGTCACCACCAGCCGGGAGCCTGGGAAGAAGGGGTCCCCATTCCGGTACACCACTACCTTCTTGGCCTTTGGATTACTACCTGCCATGGTGTATCCGCAGTCAGAGACGCAAAGCTATTACTAGGCAACCAAAGCAGGGCTGGGAGTGGTGCCAATCACAAGTGGAGTCCTGCCCTCTCTCCCAGGAAGGCAAAGGGACTTTCTGGTGAGAGAATTTATATTCAAGGTGCATTGAATCTTTCCTGAAAGGAGCCTCTCAAGGATAGGCGAGGTATGATGACTACATGAAAAAAGACCAGGTGGGCTCGGCGCCTATAGCTCAACCGGCTAAGGCGCCAGCCACGTACACCTAAGGTGGCGGGTTCGAATCCCCAGCCCGGACCCGCCAAAAAACAACAATGACGGCTGCAACCAAAAAATAGCCGGGCGTTGTGGCGTGACAACTACAGCCAAAAAATAGCCAAGCATTGTGGCAGGCGCCTGTGGTCCCAGCTACTTGGGAGGCGGAGGCAAGAGACTCGCTTGAGCCCAGGAGTTGGAGGTTGCTGTGAGCTGTAATGCCACGGCACTCTACCCAGGGGGAAAGCTTGAGGCTCTGTCTCAAAAAAAAAAAAAAGAAAAGAAAAAAGACCAGGTGGGCACAGTGGCTCACACCTGTAATCCTAGCACTCTGGGAGACTGAGGCAGCAGGATCATGTGAGGTCAGGCAAGAGTTTGAGACCAGCCTGAGCCAAGAGCAAGACCCCATCTTTACAAAAAATAAAAAAAGAAAAGAAAAAATTAGCTGGGTATGGTAGTGTGCGTCTGTAATCTAGCTACTCAGGAGGCTGAGGTAGGAGGATCACTTGAACCTAAGAATTTCAAGTTGTGTGAGCTATGATAAAGCCAGTGCACTCTAGCTGGGTTGACAGAGTGAGACTGTCTCAAGAAAAAAAAAAAACAACCCTGAAAGATCTTTGGGCTCAGTGAGAAAAGGAGTGGCAGAGAACATACTTACCATGTTCCCCTGAAAATAAGACATTGTCTTATATTTATTTTTTCTCAAGAAGACACACTAGGGCTTATTGTCAGGGGATTTTTTTTTCTTGCAGTTTTTGGCTGGGGCTAGTTTTGAACTCGCCACCTCCAGCATATAGGACTGGCACCCTACTCCTCTGAGCCACAGGCACTGCCCGGGATATCTTATTTTTTATTAAGTTTAATACAACAATCTACATTTATTCAAATACAGTTAAGTCATCTTCTTCTGGAACCTCACAGGGGGAGCTGACCTTGTTGGTGGGGCTGGTGCTAGTGATGCCTTAACTCCTTTCTCCTAGCCATTGGCACATGCACAATAGGATGCCTGCTACCACAGTTACCACACATGCACCCACACAAGTGCAATCAGCTTGGAGAAAGGAGCTGGCAGATAAAAGGTATTCCAGTCTTCCTTACCGCTCTGCACCGAAATGCATGGCGTATCTGCATAGCCATGCCCATCACTAGGTCTTATTATCAGGGTAGGGCTTATATTTAACACATGCATAGAAATCCTGCTAGGGCTTTTTTGGGTAGGTCTTATTTTCAGGGAAACATGGTAAAGCCATATGTTCCAATACTCTCCAGAGCCTCCTTGCTATGCTAAAGCCCCAGGGCTGAGCTGGAAGAGAGTCAGCTGTGGGGGCTGTTCCCCAAGGAGGATGGCTAGATCTAGATCTACCCCTGGGCCATGGCTCCCAGTTGGCTCTGGGTCAAGGAGGTGAACATGAAGACGCAGAGTTTGTCCTAACCAAAGGCAACAGAAGAAAACAGCCAAATATAGAATCCAAGAAAAAAAAAATCTTTATTCTCCACCAAGCCTCCCACTCCACTTCCCCCAGGTGACTCTTGTTTTCCTCCAGCAAATGTTACAAGATAAATCCCAGATAACTCCTTATCCACAAAATTGGATTGAGCCCATAGGCAGAGGATGAAAAGATGAAAGAGTATTCTTCGTCCTTCTCCCTGTACTTATGCCAATACTCTGCTCCAGCTTCTCTTGGCCCCACTAGCCACGGACTCCCAGGGCAGGAGCAGGAGGTAGAGCTGGTATCAGAGTGATAGGATGAGATCCCATTTCATGGTCCTTTCACAGCATACCCCTTTGGAACCTGGTCCTCTCCTATATGGTCTGACCCTGTGGAAAAAGGGTTCTCAGGTGGCCTTGTAGTCCTTTGGTTTTTCCATCCTTCATGACTAGGCTCATCAGAGGTTCCCTCTCTGGAGTGTCTATCATGGGGGGTTTGGCCTTTGGGTGGTTTAGTCCTCCAAAGATGCAAGCTACTATGCTCTGGCCCTGCCAAGGTCCCATCCCAACTGATATGGTCTTCTGAGAAACCCAACTCTTGTGGCCTGGCTCTTTGGTATTTAGGCTCTTTGTAATCTAGCCCTCTGGAAAACTCAGTATCTGGGTCCTCAGAGAGTACATGAAGTTGTGTCTTGCCCTTCCTGGAACAGTGGTCCCTAGGTTTGAGGCATCTGGGGGTCTGGTCCTCCAGGACTTTCCTCTGCAGCTGTCCTCCATTGTCTGGCTCTTTGGTGAACCTGTCCTCCATGGCCTGGCTGTCTGATGGCATAGGAAACTGTGGTCTAGCCCTCCTAGAGCATTTTTCCCTATACTTAGCTCCAGCTGTTTTTTGTGTAGGAGACAGACTTTCTGAAAATTTGTGGGGTGATTTGACCCTCTGGCAGGAGTAATCTACATGGTCTAGCTCTCCAGCGGTTTTGTCTCTGTAGAACTGGTTCTTTAGTGGTAGGCTTGCTTGTGACTGGTCGCTGTCACAGGCCTGTCCTCCATGGTCTGGGCACATGCAGGGCTTGTCTCTGGTCTGACTTGCCTCTGGGGAGCTCAGTGTTTGCTTGAGAATTAGGTACTGTTGAGGGGAGAGAAAAGACACTGTACCAGACAGGCCTGCTTGGGGATGGTAGGAGGTCTCTCCCAGACCCCCACTCTTAGCCCTAATGTTCAGAAAGAGCTCCAAGTTAATGCCTACCGCCTTACGGCTATTGATGGCCTGTTGCAGCCACAGCAGTTCCATGGCCAAGTGGCTGCGGTGGTATTGGAGCTCCTGTAGCTGAGGCTGGCTGTGAAGCAGTCCTGGACCTGTAGCTTCTGTGAAGGAGGGAAGAAAGGAGGGAGAAAGCATTAAGGCTAGACCCCGGCAACCCCCCAGTGCCCAGCCATGTAGTGCTCCCAACCAGGCAGAGGGAAAATGGAGAGGGATGAAGCTTATCTAGTGCAAACTTTTCACTTTTCTTTCTTTTTTTTTTTTTTTTGAGACAGGAGCCTCAAGCTGTCCCCCTGGGTAGAGTACCGTGGCATCTCAGCTCACAGCAACCTCCCACTCCTGGGCTCAAGCGAGTCTCCTGCCTCCGCCTCCCAAGTAGCTGGGACCACAGGCACCCGCCACAACGCCCAGCTATTTTTTGGTTGCAGCCATCATTGTTGTTTGGCGGGCCCAGGCTGGGGATTCGAACCCGCCACCTTAGGTGTATGTGGCTGGCGCCTTAGCCCCTTGAGCCACAGGCGCCGAGCCACTTTTCACTTTTCAGATGGGGAGGTTGAGGCCAAGAGAGGGTCAAGGGCTTGCCCTGATATTGGCAAAGAGGTACCTGGGTTCTTCATCCTTATCATGTCTCCGATTTCTTTCTGGCTAGTTTTCCTGCTCTGCTCAGCCTGAAGCCAGGGGCTATCAACTCGGCAGAGATTTCCTGGGTTTGCTGAGCTCTCTCTTGACTTCTTGAACACCATCTCCTCCCAGATGGCCTCTCTCTCAGCCTCTTTACATGGGAAGCGGCTCCTCGGTTCTTGCTGTGGATTTGATACCCTCTCTCCTACTTTGCAAGTCCCAAAGGATTTTGCCTTCTGAGAAATTAGAGGTGAGAGCACCTCAGGGTTAAACCCTTCCAAGTATCTGGGCACCACGATCTAGCAGGCAGGATGGTGAGGATTAAGGATTGGGGTGTGAGGAGGTGAGTCTGCTGCTTCTTCCAGGGAAAAAATCCTGTCAGCAAGACTGGTGGGTTCTACCCTGCCCAAATCCCTCCTTCCCTTCCCTTCCTTTCTCCCCTGCACTACCTCTGGGAGAAATTGGGGCCTTGGAATCCACCCCTTGGTCCACTGAATCCTAACAGGGTCGCCTTCAATCTCTCGTACAATCGCCTCATATTCAGCTCGCAGGCTCTGGAACTGGCGTCGGACCAAGAAGCCCCGGACACAGGCCTGGTGTGGAGAACGCGGAGAAAACAGTTCTTTAACGTTGTAAGGGAAGGAGATCCTCCTGGGGAGGTCATCCCTGTGACTGCAAGAGGGGACACAGCCACTAAAAAAACAGGGGACATAGGGGTTCAACGGAAGATGCTGGTCTGGATCCCCCTTCTAGTTTTAAGACACTTCCAGCTATCTCCCTGATGCTGTGTGAGCGTGTAGCGGGGAGTGCTAGGCAACCTTCTGCAACGCGGCGAGGGAGGACCGGTATCTCCGGAGGCTGGTAAGGGTAAAGGACTGAACGTGATAGCCTCATGTTGCTGCAGGTCCCAGTACCAGACCCCAGGAATCCTGAGCTCGTCCCTCCCGCCCCCCCACCTGCAGCACCGACACCTTCCGAATCAACTCGCGATCCATCCTGTTCCTCAACGGCCCCCGCCGCGCACCTGCGCAGTGCGTCATTAGTCGGCGCCGCTCCCGAGCATGCGCAGGTGCAGGGCCGCGCCCCACTGGACCCACCGTAGCGTCGCTCTGGCTGACGTTACGAGCGTCCCCAAGACTCGCGCACTCTTATCGCAGCAGATCCAACTCTCTGCTCTCGTAGTCCCGCCCGAGCAGCAACCCCCGTAACCAAAAGCGCTCTGCGCAGGGCGATTACCGCAGCAGCCCGGGGCCGTGGGTGCCCCCATCGAGGAAAAGCGCAAGAAGGGAAAAAGGACACAGAGCCGCTTTCTTGCTTTACGGTTTAATTCCACACAGTGCCCCCCACCTCCATAGCACCTGGGGGGCCGCGGAATACCCTCTCGAGTCTGTAAACAAAGTCACAGTTTGAAAGGAATGAAAGGGGCAGCTTGGGCCTGCGTCCCAGCACCTAAGCCGCCGACTGTTCCTCCGGCTCGGCGTTCTCGGCCAGGTGCAGCTTCTGTCTGTGCCAGTCAAGGGTCGTGACGCTTTGGACTCAGCCCTTCCTCTCACCCCTGTCCTATTCCAATCTGCTTAGTTTCTCCAGCTGTGCACAGGCGCGGGGACGAAGGTCTCTGGGGCCCTCCGTGGTCTGAGATTGTCGTCCCCACCTGCTCTCCTTGCCGGGGTCACTCACCCTCTCTTTTCATCAGCTCGTGCAGGACAAAGGAGCTGGGGGGCCTGAGCTAGACTCTGTGTGTTTGGGGAGAGGGGCACCCGCCTGAGCTTGTTTCTGGCTGGAAACTAGACGGGATAGTCTAAAAGTAAAAATAGTCTTTTTTGGGGAAAAATGGCTTTGGGAACAGGTGCCTCCCCAACCCTGGTGTCCCTAGGAAACTAGATAGTCTAAAAGTAAAAATAGGCTCGGCGCCTGTGGCTCAAG